CCTCGATAAGAGCAATCCGTCTCTCTCCCATGCTAAAGTTCCTTCACGCATTAGTTGCCTTCCAATTGCAGGAGACAAATCATTTATTGTTGCTGGTTCCCCCCTTGACGCTCCCTCCGTGCGCGTGTTTAAGATTTGAGTTGATCTCAATCTTCTTCTGTTGAAATAGCTCGTCTATTTCTGAATAGCAGAACCCTATCCAAACATTTTTTATAAACATGCTCTGATACCAAATCGAAAAACATGGCGGAATTAATAAAATTAAGACATAATATACCTGAATGATGCGTCGGAATGGATTGACGATGGATTGATTGTCTGGGTTTGATATGTTTATATGAATATATGGATATGATTGGATAGGGTTCTGCTATTCAGAAATAGACGAGCTATTTCAACAGAAGAAGATTGAGATCAACTCAAATCTTAAACACTCAATTTTAGCTTGTTTATTCCATATGGGCAAAGGCCCTATTTATAGGCTCAAAGGAGCCGAGTACAATAATTGAGTTGCAATCGTTTGATTGCAATATGACAAACCTATTTACATTATAGCCCCCTAGACTATTGAGGGACTTACACACTTTATGTTACATCACAATAATACAATAGACATATAATAATTATCCTACCGACACTAACAATCCCTTCCATATTGAAAGGACACGTGTTTTCAATAATGTCTTCTTTAATAATGGCTTCTTATGTCATTGCTTACGTCATTCCTCCCGCCTCCGAAAAGACATGTTTTTCAATAATGTTTGCTTGTGTCATGGCTGACGTTAATCTTCCATGAATGGTGCCTCTTTCATAATCGAGTAGGAATGTTTTTAACTGTTTCTCTATGATGGCTTCCATTCTCTTGTCAATGTGTCTGCTATATGATTGTTGGCGCTTTTGATATACTTGAGATATGGATGAAATTGATGTAATTGTAATTGCCACCGGATCAATCGTCCTCGACAGTAATCTTCTTGTAACTTATACCGCCAAAAGCCAAGTAGATACTTGGAATCTGTGCGTAATTCGAATCTGGTTTGAAGTAGCTCGACTTTCCATTTTTTCAATGTTCTGAGACATGCTAGTGTTTCTCGTTCATGTGTGCTGTAATTTTGCTCCGTTTGGGAAAATGTTCCCGATATATACTTGCATAGTTTTTGCTCGTATTTATCTGTTTTTAATACTTCAGATGATACATCTGTATCAATGTATGCTTTTGGTGATATTTTCATATCACTGTATGCTTTTGGTGATATTTTCATATCACTGTATACTTTATCATTGTTTACTTCAGATGGTATTTTCATACCAGTGTGTGCTTTATCATTGTATACTTTTGATGAGTTAGATATGAGGTTTCCCTCACTATCTAATCCCAATAATACTTTTCCCCGTATAATTGCTTTTAGGCATCCTGCCCAAGTGTCTTGTGATGCATCTGTTTCTACGATTAAGAAATCATCTATTTTTGCATTATATAAAGTAGGGAGAACTTGAATGTTTTGTTTTATATTTTGTACCAAAATAGTATCTGTATTGGTCCAAGACCAAGGTATTTTTTCTGATATTTTCTTTTGTAAAACTTTTCTTTCTTTTGCTAAATTTTTTAAAAATCCTTGTTCTGCAATATAATTTAAACAACCAAGAAATCGTTGTATTTGTTTTCTATTTTCAAGTTTATTAGGAAACATATTTAATTTTTCTCGTATATTGTCTGTTAACGATAATTGACCATTTTCTCCAATTTTTAAACCGAGATATTCAACTGTAGTTTGAAAAAGTTTTGATTTCTTTTTTGATAAAACTAAACCCTTTTCTTTAATTCTTTGTAAAACCTTGATAACTGCATCAATGTGTGTTTGTTCGTTTCCTTTTGTAAAAACAATTATATCATCAATATATGCAAGACAAATATGATCTAAACCATTTAAGGTTTCATCCATGAATCGCTGATATATTGCTGGTGCCTGTTTTAAACCGAATGGAAGGACATTCCATTCATAATGCTTCTGAGGAGGACATGAGAAAGCGGTTAGTGGTTTCGTATTTTCATGTAAACGTAACTGCCAATATCCAGATTTTGCATCAAATGTACTAAATGTGTATTTCCTTTTATTTTTTCTAAAATATATTCTTTTCGTGGTAATTTATATGAGTCTCCTATAGTAGCATCATTCATTTTTTTATAATTGATTACCATTCTTCGTTTGCCTCGTTTTATTTCATTATTATTTTCTACATAAAATGCAGGTGCTGAATGAGGACTCTTGCTAGGTCGAATGATTCCTTTTTCTAATAGTTCAATGCATTCCTGTTTGAATTCAGAAACATCTTTTATGCTGTATGGAATTTTATTTGGAACATTAACTTCATCATTAGGGTTTTTTAATAATATTATTATTTCTTGATTATTTTTATTTTTTAAATGATCTAGCGGGTTTTCGCTACATACTTCTTCGAGTTGTTTTTCAGCAATTTCTTTAGCAAATGTTAGTAATATGCGTAATTGAAAGCCAACCTCTTGTTTGATTATTTTAATAAGATCATAATGTTTGATAATTGCAGTTTTTATAATACCTTTTGTTGGATGATTGAGACTTATATCGTCATTTGTTTGTATAAATGGTTGATATAATTTAAGGAAATTATTTCCTATTACTAAATCTATTCCTGAATCATGTTGATATATAGTTTGAGTTTTAAATGGTGCCTTTTCAATTACTATATCTATATCTCTTCCTACGAACCAAATTTTGTGAATTGATTTATCAGCAATTGTTATTTTTAATGGTTTTTCTAATTTTTTAATATCTTTTTTCTTCCAAAACATAAAGTAGCTCCTGTATCTATATATGAAACTAATTCTTTATCTTGTATTTTGGTTGTAATAAATGTACTATTTGGGTTAATATTTGTTTTTCTTTTACTCATTTTAGGATTAGTTTATAAATTTCTTTTAAATGTTTTGTGGATTTTTCTAAATCTTTCCATAATTTTTTAAGTAGATCAACTTTATATTTATTATCGTAACTACAATATACTTGAGTTTTATTACTCATAATTTTTATTTTACCATGTGAAAGGTCGTTTAATAGTAAGTGGTTTTTCTTTAAATAGTTGTTTTTCATTAAGTGGTTCTTCTTTAATAGTTTTTATTTTTAAATATTTTTCAAGTAGAATTTTCTGTTGATTTAAATTTTGTAATAATTCAGGAATTTGTTTTAATACAATTAAACTTTCTACTTCTATAATATTATTTAATTTTTGATTAGTTATGTTTAATTTTTCTCCTACTGATTTATCTTCTTCAGGATTAAGACCGATGTTATATATTGTTCCTTGTGGTAAATTTTGTGGTATTTCTATAATCATTTCTTTATCTGGTATACATGGTTTTGTATTTTGATATGATCCTTCAAGTGTTTTAAAATATTTTAGAGAATTACTAGATGATTCTGTCATATTCTTAAACTTAATGATCTAATCATTTCTTTAATATCTTCTAACTTTTCATCGTTATTTTCATTAGATGTTGAAGGCTGACATTCTGAAATAGAAGATCTACCTATTATAGTTGAAAATGAAGGTTCTATAATTGGACTTCTTTTTATTAACGGAGTAGTTATTATTGGTTGAAAATTAGTTTCATTGAATATTCTATTATTAGTCATATTTGGTGATTCAAGGGATAATAAAGGGGTAAATAATTTATCTATATAAATTCTATCTTCTGTTTTAAATGTAATACTATGATGAGAATTTGTTAATGCATAATTTATTTGATATGTAATAGTAAATGGATGATTACCTTTTATCATAAAATTTTGTCTTAATAATTTATATCGTACAGTAATACTATTACTTAAATTTTTATCTTTAAGACTTAATCCTAATTGAATATTAATATCAAATTTTATTTTTCCTTCAATTAAATTACCTTCTCCTTTTGCAATAATACTTTCTTGGTTATTAATTATACGATCATCTCTGATTTCTAATTCTATTGGTGTATTTAAATTACTTACAGTACTTTTTAAGATTATTTGAATAGTTGATATATGAATATAAGCAATTTTTATTCTATCTGTTTCTTTAATATGAGATAATCTATTTCTAATTTGTTGTTTATTTATTATGGGTATAGTAATATTTCCTTGAGTTAATTCTATAGGTATTGCTTGTTCTCCTATAATTTTTCCATAATATATAATATTTTTTCTAGAAAAGAAGTTTTTAAATGTGTTATGTCTAAAATTGTGTCTTTCGGATAGTGTGAAATTTGATTTTCTTATAGCGTCTTTATTGATGTTATTTTTATTAATTAAAGCATCAAAAGTGTATCCAGATTCATTTTCTTCGTTATTAATAACTATTGGTGAGTTTTCTATTTCTTGAGACATATTTATAGTATTAAAACTTCTTTCGATAAATATTTTAATTGTTGATAACTTTTTTTTAAATATGAATATTTAAAAACAATGGTTATTCATTATCATGTTTATGATGTTTATCATGTTTATGATGCTTATCATGTTTATGATGCTTATCATGTTTATGATGCTGCATATGCATATATTCTTATTAACGATAGATTGAATATGCAAACTAATAATAAGAATAATAAGAACGTTACTTAGCTCTGATACCAAATCGAAAAACATGGCGGAATTAATATGATTAAGACAGAATATACCTGAATGATGCTACTATAGGAGACTCATTCCCCTGAACGAGCTTCTTGCCCAAATTCTTTTTTTGGGCCCAACAGCCCTACTTTTATCCAACAACCTTTATCCTTTGCTGAGATTTTATTGGGCAAGTCCAAGTCACCTTCGATTGGGCCTGTTTCCCCTGAATTCGTTGTAAATGACCCATCGTACAAGGCTGGCACAACCGATTTTTTTCATGATGAGGTCCCTCCTGTTACTCCCCTTAAACTTGATTTTGTCAACATTAATGATTCACTGGATGATGATTTTTTAATTATCCCTCCGGATATCATGGCCAACGGCAGCACTCCCTATGAACGCACTTTATATGGTTATTTTATCGGTAAAAGGCTTGCGTTTCCGCTTGTTAAAGATCGGCTCCAAGACTTATGGAAGGAACATGGAATTACCGACATCTTTATTAATAACGAAGACATGTTCTTTTTTAAAGTTGACAACGATAATGGTATGAATTATGTCCTCCAAAAAGGTTTTTGGAAGATTAATGGTACCCCGCTCTTTTTAAGAAAATGGGACCCAAATGTTTTCATTGAAAAACCAACGCATGATTGGGTTCCCGTTTGGGTTAATATTTTTGGCATTCCTCTCCAACTTTTTAACAAGGATGGTCTTAGTCTCATTGCTAGCAAACTTGGAAAACCTTTGGAGGTCGATTCTTATACTACTTCCATGTGTGAGCAGGGTACGGGTAGAGCAATTTATGCCCGTACTCTCATTGAGATGTCGGCTAAAGACCCTTGGGAAAAAGATATAAATATCAAAGCGATCACGGCTAAAGGTGCTACATCTACTACACTTAGGGTGGAGTACTCTTGGAACCCTAAGAGTTGCAATCATTGCAAAATATTTGGTCATGACCTTGCCAGTTGCCCCACTCTCACGACTAGCACCCCTGTCCAAAAGTCGGCTACGCCCACTCCGATAGAAGTTGACAAAGAAGGTTATCAAATGGTTAAAAGGAGAAATAGACCAATTCCTATCCCTAAAAAGAAGGTTCAAGTTGACAACCATAAATGTAAAGGGCCCGCTCTAAAGATCGCTCAAGTCTACAAGCCAATCTCTCGTGATCCGAAGAAAAAGAATGTGTCGTCCAACATGTTTGATGCTCTCTCGCACCAAAGAATTGGCGACACTGAAGACGATTCTAGCATTCCTCCTGTCATCCATCCCAGAGATACCCTCCCAACTTCCGATTCACATCCGAGCTCCTCTCATGGAGGCCATATCTCTATTCCAGTTGATCAGGGTTGATGTTTTAGGTCTTGTTTAGCTAGATCATAGTTTTGCTTTGTTTTTCCTTGCTTTGGGGCATGTCCCATAGCTTGGTCTTATTTTCATTTTTTCTTGGGCGTTTGTCCTCTTTTTTTTAATTTCTTTTTTCTTAATAATATTTGCCAAGGGTAAGCCCTTTTATCCAAAAAAAAAAACCTAAACCCTAAACCCTAAACCTAAACCCTAAACCCTAAACCCTAAACCCTAAAACCTAAACCCTAAAACCTAAACCCTAAACCCTAAGGGTAATCAGGGAAGTTCCAACCATGTTAATTCGGAAATGAGAAAGAAAGATGATGTGGGAAAAAAGGAGGTCAGCAGGCAAGCGTATATTCCAAAGTCTGGAGCAGATTTCAAAATTAGTTCGAACTTTGAAAAGAACATTCAAAATGTGAAGTGTCTCGATTCAGTGAACTTACTTTCTAGTAATAAATTTGATGTTTTAACGGATTTGAAAGATGATAATCAATTTGAGTATTTTAAAGGTGGTATCGATGAGGCTGATTTAGCTTATTTGGATACTGTGGATCAAATGGAAGTTCTTGGTGGTGTCCCTGTGATCGACACCAACATGGAAGCAGGTCCCAATGACGATTAGTTTTGGGGTGTGGAATATTAGGGGATTGAATCAATCTCCTAAACAAAAAGAAATTAAAAATATGATTTCGTCTAATAATGTGAGTTTATTGGCTATTCTTGAACCTCAAGTTAGTTTTTATAATCTCAAAGAGAAGTGTGATAAGATTTTTGGATCTTAGAAGTGGATTGCTAATAGGGGTATTTCGGGTAATATTGCTCGTATCATCATTGGCTGGAACTCTAATTTCTTTGATGTTAACTTGATTGATTCTAATGATCAAGTTATACATTGTAAAGTCAGTTTTCCTTCAAGCAACAAGTTTGTTTTCTGCTCCTTTGTGTATGCGGCTAATAAGTACACTGAAAGAAGGTTATTGTGGTCTTCTCTTGAGCTTCACAACCTGTTTCTTCGAAATGATCCGTGGGTTATCTGTGGGGATTTTAATGTCACTCTAAATCTTAATGAAAGCACTGTGGGATCATCGAGACTTTCTAAAGGCATGGTGGATTTTATCGATTGCATTAATAATCTTGAAATCCAAGATATTAATAGCAATGGTTTGAACTTTACTTGGAACCAAAAGCCTTGTGGAAGTAATGGCATTTTAAAGAAGCTTGACCGTGTGATGGGAAATAATCGCCTGCTTGATGTGTTTCCTTCTATTTTTGCTTCTTTCCTTCCTTATAGACTTTCTGATCATAGTCCTATGGTCATTAAGATTCCTGTGAGATAAAAGTTTACTGTTTTACCCTTCAAATTCCCTAATGTTCTTACTCTCTGCCCTGATTTGAAACCTCTGGTTGAAATGTTTTGGAACTTTGATGTTCAAGGTGTTAAGATGTTTAGATTAACGTAAAAGCTCAAAATTCTCAAAAAGCCAATTCGCCAACTGTTAAAGGTTCAAAGGCATTTTTCTGAAAATGTTGAGCACTTCCGTAAGGAGCTTGAAGCAGTGCAATATGATCTGGATTTGGATCCTTTTAATATGCAACTTCGTGATCTGGAGGCTATTTTTCTTGGAGAGTATAAAATTGCTTATGAAAAGGAGGAGCAGTTCCTGAAACAGAAAGCTAAAATTCATTGGTTAAAAGAGGGTGACAGTAACTCAAAGTACTTCCACAGAATTGTCAAAGGAAATGCTCACAAAAACAGAATTGAAGCTGTTATGAATCGACAAGGGGAGTGGCTGGAAGGTGAAGCAGTGTACAAAGAATTTGTTGATTATTTCCAAGATTTTCTTGGAAAAGAGGTTCCTTGTGGGGAGATTAAGCTGCCAAATTCTCTATTTGTTAAAAAACTTGATCTTGTTGAAGCTGTTGAGATGGTCCAGATTGTTTCAAATGAAGAAATTAAAGCAGCCCTTTTTTATATAGATGATGATAAAGCTCCTGGTCCGGATGGGCATTCGGCTAAATTTTTTAAATCCATGTGGTCTATCATTGGAGAGGATTTCTGTCAAGCTGTCAAAGATTTTTTTTGCTAATGGAAAGATTCTCAAAGAAGTCAATGCCACTGTCATTGCTTTGGTTCCAAAAATTGATTCTCCTGGAATGGTGAGTGATTTCAGGCCTATTTCTTGATGCTCTGTTATCTACAAGTGCATTAGCAAAATTATTGTTGGCAGAATAAGAAATCATTTGGGATCTATTGTTTCTGACAACCAATCATCTTTTATTCCGGGTAGATCAATCACATATAATATTCTTCTCTCTCAAGAGCTGGTTCGGAGGTATCATAGATATCAAGGGTATTCTCGGTGTGCGCTTAAGGTGGATATACAGAAGGCTTATGACACTGTTAATTGGTCTTTTCTTCAGAATATTCTTTTTCATTTTGGTTTTCACCCGGCCATGATTAAGTGGATTATGCAGTGTGTAAGTACTCCTTCCTATATGATTAGCATGAATGGTACTTTTCATGGTTATTTTGAAAACAAAAGAGGTCTTAGACAGGGTTGTCCTCTTTCTCCTTATTTGTTCACCCTTGTGATGGAAACTTTTAATTTGATTTTTCAAAGAAGAATAAAGAATGAAGCTTTGTTCAAGTACCATTGGAGATGCAAGAAGCTTAAGCTTGCTCATCTTTGTTTTGCGGATGACTTGATGATTTTTTGCCATGGAAATAAAGCTTATGTCAGGGTGATTAAAGATAGCCTTGATGAATTTGCTAAAGTGGCTGGTCTTCACCCTAATTTTTCTAAAAGTCATATTTTTTTAGGAACGTTAAAGCTAATGTGAAGAAAAGTATTTTGGATACTTTGTCTTTTTTTGAAGGAAAGCTTCCGATGAGATATTTGGGGATTCCTCTCATTTCTACTAGATTATTTGTCAGGGATTGCAAAAGGCTTGTTGATAAAGTGAGAAGTAGAATTAGTGATTGGAGGAATAAATTTCTCTCTTACGCTGGAAGACTGCAACTCATTTCTTCTGTTTTGTATTCCATTCCAGTGTATTGGGCTTCATGTTTGCTTATTCCGGCTGAAACAATTAAGGAGATTGAGAAGATGATGAAGAATTTCCTTTGGAATTGTGATGAATCCAAGAAGGGGAGAGCTAAAATAGCTTGGTCTACTGTTTGTAAGCCTGTGGAATGTGGGGGTTTGGGTCTTAGAAATTTGAGAGCTTGGAATAAAGCTATCTTATCCAAAAGAATGTGGATGATTATGTCTAATTCTGATTCTTTATGGGTTAAATGGATCAACATCAACATTTTAAAGGGAAGGTGTTTATGGGATGTTGAGAAAAAAACATGATTTGAGCTGGAGTTGGAGAAATTTGATTAAGTAGAGATCGAAGTTCAGAAATCATTTTGTGCATAAGATTGGGAATGGTGCTAATACCTTTATGTGGTATGATGATTGGCATCAAGTTGGTGCTTTCTCTCATGTTCTCTCCCCTAGAGAAATCTCGAATGCTGGCTTTAGGATTTCGGATAAAGTCAAAGATGTGATTAGTGATAATTCTTGGTTTTAGCCTGAAGATTGGATTTCTCTCATCCCTCAGTTTAATGATTTCCAATTGCATGTTCTTGATCCTTTGGTGGCTGACAAGGTTTTATGGAGGAAAAGGGATGGGAAAATAGTGGAGTTTGATATCCAACATGTTTGGAATGATCTCAGAGAGGATGGTCAGATGGTTCCATGGGTTCATCTTGTTTGGTTTAAGCAGCGAATTCAGAGACATTCTTTTATTCTTTGGCTCGCTATTCATGAAAGGCTGAATACTCAAGATAGAATGAGGTTTTGGGATAGTAATAAAAATCTGAATTGCTCTCTTTGTAATTCTCAACCAGACTCCCATTCTCACTTGTTCTTTGAGTTCCCTTTTTCTTCATTGGTTTGGAAAGAAGTGAAAGATAAAGTGGAAATTAAAAGTGATTCTTTTGTGTGGAGAAACATTGTTGAAGATCTTCAACTTTTGCTTAAAGGAAAAAACATTAGAATTCTCATCATGAAAATTGCTTTTGCTGCCTCGGTGTACAATATATGGAGAGAAAGAAATTCCAGACTCTTCAAGAAAGGAAAGAATATGGAGAACAAGGTCATTTTGAATTTTTTTGAAGAAATTCGTCTTAAGCTTATTGGGCTTAAGGGAGGTTTTCTGAGCTTTGATGATGATGTCAAGAGGAAGTGGGGTATTCCCGTTGGAGAGAAGGTTCATGATGTTTTTGATGATTAGTGGAAATGACGGATTGGGGTTTAGCAATTTTCCTTTAAAAATTGCTTTGCTTATCGGTTTTACCCCGATTTTCTTAAGGTTTTTACCGTTTGATGTGGATTTAATTATGCAGATGGGTTTTATCCCCATTATTGGTTGTTTTACTCCTAGGAAACTAGGAGTCTCCACTTCGGTGGGTGCCACTGCTAGTTCGATTAGCAAGTGGTGGGATATTCACCCGTCAATACACGGGCTCGAGTACGTCATCCTCAGACTGCACTACCTTTGGGTTGGTTGTTTCCTTTTTTATAATAAAAACAACCACTTTTTAATCTTTTGGTTTATCCTTAAGATTTTTGATGTCCGGTCTATCCCGGATTTCATTGGATCTTTATCCTTTGATGTGGAATTTAAGGGATCTAATTCAATTTATATTGGATTTAGATTTCTTGGATATTCGTTGAATATCTTTTCTATAATTGGAATTGACGGCAAATGGTTTAGCATTTTTCCTTCAAAAATTGCGTTGTTGGTTGGTCTTATCCCGACTTTCTCAAGGCGTTTGCTTTTTGAGGTGGTTATTTTTTTAATGCAAATGGTTTTGATCCCCGTTATTTGCTGTTTTCTTCCTAGGCAACTAGGAATCTCCACTATGGTGGGTGCCACTGCTAGTTCGATTAGCAAGTGGTGGGATATTCACCCGTCAATACACGGGCTCGAGTACGTCATCCTCAGACTGTACTACCTTTGGGTTGGTTGTTTCCTTTTTTATAATAAAAACAACCACTTTCTGGGTTCTTGGTTCTACCTTAAGATTCTTGCTGACCGGTTTATCCCGGTTATCATTGGAATTTTTTCCTTTGATGTGGATATTGAAGGTTTTAATCTCAATTTTTTTGGAATTAACCTTCAGGGGTATTTTTGGAATTACCTCATTAAAAAAGGAATTGACGGGAATTATTTCTTTGGTTCGACTCTAAAGAAGATAGTTGTTTGGTTTGATTTTTTTGACCATAAAAACTTTGGCATTTTTTGCCCAGGGGTTCAATTCCCGCAAATAGTTGGTCTACCCTTCGTGGGTATTTTTGGAATTTTTCCACTCAAATTAGAATTGATGGATTTTATTTCTTTGGTTCGACTCCAAAGAAGATAGTTGTTTGGTTTCATTTTTTTGACCATAAAAACTTTGGCATTTTTTTGCCCAAGGGTTCAATTCCCGCAAATAGTTGGTCTACCCTTTGTGGATATTTTTGGAATTTTTCCTCTCAAATTAGAATTGACGGATTTTACTGGTGATTTAGGCTATGATTGCAACTATTGTCATGGCAAGAATCATTTGGCTAAAAAGTGCATGTTGAGGGGATTAAATGAGAAGAAAGAGGGAGAAGATGATGAGGCGTACCATCTTCGCAAGCTTGAGGAAATCAAGCAGAAAAAGAAAGCTGATAAATCGATGCCTGCTTTGATTGTGCAGGGTAATAATGGTGATGATGAGTCTGGTGGAGTAGAGGTATGGTCCACTGATTCAGAGGATGAAGAGGTTAGAAGACCCACTCACGGAAAGAGCTTTGTGGCGAATGAAGGTGATTCACATATGGGAGGAAAGTGCTTTGTGGTGACAAACAACGTGTCACAAATGAGAGGATATGCAACAGATGGAGGACAAGAAGAAGCGAATGGAAGAAAGGATGACAGTTGCTTCGCTGCGAAGCCTGTTCTTGCACAAATCAATGAATGTGATCAGCTGATTAATAAGGTACATACCATTCTTGAATCTCTTAATGTTCCTATATCTAATTATGAAACTGAACTAAGCGATTTAAAATTCACCTTTTCAAGTATAAGTGAAAGTTTGAAACAAACTCGCCTGTCAAATGCTAACATAACCGATCAAATCAGCAGGGTGTCATCAAAGAGTGAGGAACGAAGGATATGGAGAGAGAAGATAGAGTCCGAGCTTTCTAGGTCTAGGGACGAGTCCATTTATTTACAACGAGACAATTTAAAGCTTTTAAAACAACATAACATCTTTTGTTTGATTGCTAAGAGGCTATATTTTAATATCACTCAATTGCATTTGAATTGTGAAATTGGTAAGAAAATTCATAAAATGATCTTGCCATTTTTGGAATTAAAAGAAGATGAAATTGATGTTGATTGTTATCAATGTGAATCTATCGTCTCATCACACGAAACCTCATAAGCTTATAGAATTGGACTTGACAAAATTGAATCATGTATTCAGTCCAAGGACCACAAGGACATGCTGATACAGTTACTCAATGAAAATGACATATTAAAGATCAAAACCGAAACTGTATAGAAATTTGATTCATTGAGTTCAGACAATAAGTTAAATGTTGATAACATTTCTGAATTCGATGAGGACGATGAGATGAGTGAAATGTAGAAGATGAGGTTGACTGTTCACAATTCCTTAAAAACAAACTTGGAAAAGTGAAAGCTCTTATTTCAGAAAATTCCGTTGAATTTGCACATATTTCTCAAAATAATCCAAAAGTTTTAAAGGAAGTTGCGAAAGTCTTTCCAAAGGTCCAAACGACACCTAACCAGGTCTTCACAGTTAATGGTGTTTCTAAATGTCAAACTGTTAAACTAACACCCCTAGTCGAAGCTGATAACGCTGATGGGTGTGATGAGTACTTTTGGTCCGCCCCGATTGACAATGCAGACGAAACATTAGGTCTATCTGAGAAGACCTCATGGAGAGTTAAAGGAAGGTATGTAGCTGAACCTTTAAATAAGGTTAATACCACCTACGAAAAGGGAAGTTCCAGTGGAACCAAGGATAATCCCACTGATAACTCTTCAGTTCAAGAAAACACTCCTGTAAGAAAGACAAGGGCAAAAGCGAATGTTCATAATCTGCTGAACAGTTCGCAACATAAAAACATCAACGAAATGCAAGGTACAACAAAAATCTACAGGAACGAAAGCAATTTTGGAAGTCAAGGAACCCTAACTTCGTTCACCATGAAAAGCGTTTCAATCCTCAGACGAACGATGGATCAAATACCAAAAGCCAAAAAGTCTCATCAAACGCAAATCCAAAAAGCTTCTCATCTCGTAAGCCTTACAGCCCTTAGGATCAAAGACACACGAGTCATCTCAGATCCTCTAGCTCCAAACCCACCTATCCTTCAAATCATAAGTCAGCTCCCAAAACCACCTTCGTTTCTAAACCAGGAGTTTCGCGCTCTTCCACCTCTTCACCACACGATAAAGGAAAGGCGAAAATAGTTTCAATGTCCCACACTTCTTCTAGATCTAAGGAAAAAGAGCGAAAGTTTGTTAAAAACCAAATAAGAAACAAACAAAAACAAAAACAAACTAACTCAAATGAATCAAACCAGAAAGATAATCGTATCAAGGTTTTCACAATAAAGAAGAAAGATTAAACAACATTAATAAAACGAACTTATATGATTGATCTCTCTATTGCATTTCCAGTTTCTATAAAAGGCTCACGGGGACCCAAACACCTTTGGGTTCCTAAATCTGCTTAATATTTGCAGATTATTCGTGACGAGCAGTTTGACACTAAATGATATATCGACAGTGGTTGTTCGCATCACATGACGGGAAGAAAGGAGGAGCTGAGAGAATACAGAGAATTGAAGAATGGCGGTCTCGTGAAGTTTGGTAACAATGCACTTGGGGAAATCAAAGGATATGGCATGATAACGAATGACGGATTCTCAATTCGCAAAGTTGCATATGTTGAGGGACTGCAACACAACTTAATAAGTGTTTAGCAGTTGGTATTGGGTACAGGTCTAAAGGTCTCGTTTGATAATGAAGGATCTGAAATTATCGAAAAGAAGACGAAATCAGTGTTGCTTAAATCAAAACGTAAAGGCGAGATGTATCTATTAGACATCAATATGATATGAGGGAAACCCTCCATTTGTTTGCTCACTAAGGCTGCAATAGACGATAGTTGGCTATGACATAGGAGACTTTCGCACCTCAACTTCAAAGACATCAACAAGCTAGTTCTTGGTGATCATGTGCGAGGTCTTCCTCTCTTGAAGTATGACAAGGATCATCTCTATGCCGCCTGTGAAATGGGAAAGCAAAGCAGGAAAAGTCATCCAACTATAGTGAACACGAAGGTTATTGAGCCATTCGAACTACTCCACATTGATCTTTTTGGCTCATCTGCAATAGAAAGTATTGGTGGTAACAAATATATTCTCATTATTGTATATGATTTTTCTCGTTTCACTTGGGTGTTCTTTCTTAAACAGAAGTCTGAAGCAACTCCTAGGCTCAAAGATTTTATCAAGCAGATTGACTTACAACTGCGAAAGGTTGTTCGCAATGTTCGAAGTGACAATGGTTTGGAATTTAAAAGCCAGGCGTTCGATGCATTCCTCACCGATAAGGGAGTATCTCATAATTTTTTGCTCCCTATACTCCACAGAAAAACGGGATCGTTGAAAGACGGAACCGCTCGTTGGGTGAAGCAGCCAGGACCATGCTTTCGTTTGCATCACTGCCTCGTTACTTCTGTTGGAACCTGAAAGTGAACCTCTAGCAATCCTAAGTACTCATTCCGAAGTGTGTATGTTCCGAAGTGGAGAGTGGTCCGGAATCTGTCCGGACCAGGAAAGAAGAAGATGTGAAGCTGAAGGCATTCCGGAATGACTCTCATTTCCGGAATGGATGCTGATCCGGAGTTACCCTATTTTGTCTTTGTGCATTTATTATATTTGTCTTTGTATTGATGTGATTTTTCATAGGACTTAGTCTTTTGTTGTATTTAGACAATCAGAATGTCAGAAACATTTCTATTTTCCAGTCCTATGTAAGTGTTCTAGTTAATTCGTTGTAATCTTCACTCCTATTTATAGGAGTATTCAATGCAAGTCAACTACGGATCTTTCACTCACTTTTGTCATTCTCATTGAGTTTATTTCAAACATTCTTCTTGTTCTTCATTTATTAGCTTTACCATGATCAGTTATTCTCGTTGTTCATTAAATGACTTGATCATT